TAGAATGTTAAATGTTAGGGTCATGCAAGGCAGAAAATGGACTCAAACCCAACATGAATCGTGAGACAATTTTTCATCTCAGTCTTGGACAGAAGTCAAACTTACATTTAAGGTTCTTCCCAGTGGAATTCTTCTTAGGACAGCTCAGGACGCTCTTTCTCCAAGGTCTGGGGTGAGTTGGTTTCCTTCCTCTTCGTCCTCTTTCTCTTCCTTTCCTTCCCTTTCTTTTCTTTTCTTTCCCTCCCCTTCCCCTTTTCTGTTTCTTTTTCTTTCCTTTCCCTTCTCTTTTCTTTTCATTCTCCCTTCCTCTCTGCCTCCTTCTCCCTACCCCCTTCCTTCCTTTTATCTAAAAAGAAAGAAATAGGGAAAGGAGTGCAAGCTATGTAAGTTCGTGAGTGCAAAACACTGCTGTGAGCACAGTGAAGACCTGGAGGAGTTAAACAGAGTCTCTTAACCCTAGAGAGAGAGACCCACAGGTCCAGGCAGCTGGATGGCAATGGTGCCATCTGCATGAGGCCATACCCCAGGCAGAGTGGCAGTGGAGACTGAAGTGCAAACAAAATGCCATAGACATTTAAAACAATGGAGACGCTGTACGCTAATGCCTCTGAATTTGCGTATGGGGACCTTGGGACCTTCCTCAGAGCTGCACGGACCAAGTTTTCCGTATGAATGTGACACCTGGCCTCATCTTCCCTTTCTTTCTCCTTCACATCATTAGTTTATGCTGGTCTACTGTGTGGGTTTATAAGCCTCCTTAAGTCCTTTTGGAGCATGGATAGGACCACTCATAAATGGAGTTTATAATAAAAAATTTTATAGAGTTTGATTCTTTGATTCTTTTTTATTTTAAGGTATTGTTTTTATTCCCCATCTAGTCTTTTTTAATAATACTTTGTTTTTACTTCATAGAGGCAATATCTTTCTGGTCTTATCTCTCCGGGGATGTTAATCATTCTGAATTATGTTTGTCTTCTTCCTGCACAGTTTGTCTCCCCAAACTGTCTCCCCACCCCACCCCCAGGTTATGGGCTTTTCTCAGATGTGTGGAGATAATTGCTTATCTGCTCATGTGTAAAAGTAAAGTGCTGAAGAACTAGCTGTGAACACTGAGTCAGTGAGGGGATCCCAAGTCAATTTAGGGCTTCACTGTAGAGTGGCCAAGGAGCTGTTCATGGGGCCATAAAGTCCCCTCCCTGTATCTAGGCTGGAGGCAAAGGCCTGGCATCCAGCTTGTGGGAGCCAAGTAGAAGAGGGTTGGGGTCTCCACGGCAAGGCTGACCAGCCAAGGCACACAGCCACCCTATCAGTGTGTGGCAGTGAGCTTAGGGCAGTACCCTGACCCTGCAGTGGGCCGGCCAACCCTCAGCCCTTCAACCACTTTCCTGAATTCTCTGTCTCATGCCCTTGGGTGGGGAGTGAGGGGTGCCCCTCAGTGGCATGGAGTGGACAGGGGATCTAGGGATCCAGGTCCTTCTCCGACACCTTGCTCCAAAGCCTTGTTTGATCTCCCTCCCCTCTGCTTAATTACCTGATCTAAGGGCACCTGTGTGCCAGTCTGCGTGCATAGCACCGTGAGGGTTGATCTCGGCAGGCATCCCTGATGCTGCTTCTGGTTGGCTCTTCCTCTAGGTCAGTTACACTGTCTGTCAGTTCCACAACTCCCAGGCTTCCTACTCCTGTCATCACCTCCTTTCCTATTTTCCCCATCCTTGTGTATTTCTGTCTTTCAAAAAATAACCAAATTTAAGTGAGGCGTGGTGGCACACGCCTGTAATCCCAGCACTTGGGAGGCTGAGGCAGGAGAATCGCCTCATTCAAGGTCAGCCTGGGCTACATAGTGAGTTCAGGGCTGGCCTGAACTACAAAGGGAAACCCTGCCTCAAAAAACCAAAAAACCAAACCAAAACAAAACAAAACCCCAAATTTAAACTGTAGTTCTCGCTTGGTTTGGGAGGAAGAAATGCTAGATACATTGGTTCAATCTGGCATTATAGCCTAATAAATCTTTAATTCCATTATTTATTTTCTACATAACTCAATAATGCAGTTAACTACTCTTCTAGTTCACTGGGTTTGAGTCTGTCAGTGTTATTTATCATCTTTGGATCTTGCTTACTTCATCTGTAAAAGAGGAGCATTCCTGTCTACCTTATAACTTTGCCTGAGCTACCATGTAAATCCAAGGACACAATAACCCACATTTCAGGCACAGTTCTGGCAAAGTGAGACCCACAGGGAGACACGAGCACCCTCCCAGGTCAGTGGCAACTCACAGGCAGGACCCTGGTTTCCATCCTCGTTTCCAGGGCAGTGGCCTAGCGTAGCCCTCTGCTTCTCTTTGCCAAACCCTGTGGGAGACAGGGAAGAGATGCTAATCTCAACTGTCCTCCCTGAGCTGGGACCCAGGTGACAAGTGTTTGCCTAGAACACTTAGAAGAGGAAGTGTTCTCCCTATTTCTGTGCCTTTCTACGTGTGTGTGTGTGTATGTGTGTGTGTGTGTGTGTGTGTTTCCTTCTAAGTAAAACACTTTGCTTGCATCTTCCAACAACAATCACCTTCCCTTCTTTTTGGCCTTGCATTTCCCTTTGGCTTTCCTGTCCAGCTCACTTTTCCATCCATCTGTGGCCAGAGCGGACTCACACGAAGTGACCCATTGTCCACTTAACCCTGCAGGCAGCACCTTTGCTCCTGTGTTTCCTCGGGGTGGGGGTGGGGGACAGGTCCTCAGTGCTCAAGACCAAGTTCAAGTCCAGCCTGTAGCAGAGGGGCTCAGTGGGATTGTGGGTCTCAGCTGCTGCCAGAGGTGATAGGATCCCCTTGCCCCTGCTGGAAACCCTCCTGCACCAAAAAGGGAAGGGCCCAGAAGGAATATGCCAGCTCGACCTCCTGGTACCTCCTGCACCAGAGCATATGAACCTCCCAAAGGGAAATTATCTTATGCTGGAAGTCAGTCCTTCTGTTCCCCTTCCCAGCTCCTTCTTGCCCTTCAAGACAGAAGGGAGAGAAGAAGTATCGATTGCAAAGAGTATCCCATTTCCAGAAATCAATCCTGATGGGCTCAAGTGTCCTCTGGGACCTAGCCCTTGGAGGCAGCTCAGGCCCCATTCAATCAAGTTCCCTGTGGTGAAGAAAGAAGGGCCTAAGGCCAAGTCTGGTGGCAATGACATATCTAGGGAGAAGAGAGGGACATGATGGCCATGGGTGGTTCCATAAAAGTGGGACTGGCTGGTGGGCAGGAATGGCCCTTCCTCCTTTCCCTCACTGCAAGCTAGCTGTGGTATTAGTATTGTGATTAGATAATGCTTTTGACTGAGCTTCATCTGAGTCATTTGGTGACACAAGCAATCAGCACAGAGCTTCATGGTAATTAGGCAACACTGGCCATTTGCAGAAGTAACTGCAGTGAGTGTTACTTCTGCTTGGCCTGGGCAGGTGTGCTGGGGCCGCTGGGAAGGTAAAGGAGAGCCGGGCAGGACAGAGATCTGCTGGGCAGTTCTCCAGCCCCCCCACCCCCACCCAGTGCTACCTCTGAGACCGGCCCTGTCAGCCTTTCTCACCAGAGGGGAGGGTCAGCCACGATCCTCCCTCTGTGCCCTGCCCCTCCCCACCCCCAGCAGCTTCCTCCCTGGACTGACTGTGTTGGTCCTACTCTGTACAAGGAAACCAGAACTGCACAGAGGGGCTCCAGCCACACTGCGCCTGGGTCCTCTAGTTGACTCCACATGGTCCCCAGTAGGGGTGGCTGGGGTGAGAGGAACAGAGGTGCTGGCCTGATTGTTCTGGAGGCATACAGACCCCCAGGCATTCCCTGAAGAAACCTCAGGCATTTCTTTCTCTGGGGTAAGATGAGATTGTCCAGGCGGTACCACGTGTGCTTGTATAAAGCCCTCCTTTCCGCCTCATTCTTCACCCCTGCTTGGAGAGGAAATGCCCCTGGGGACCTCCAGACTGCTAGGCCATGCCCTTTCTGAATCCTGGGGGAGCCAGATCTTGCAGAAGAGACCAGGCAAATGGCTTTGCTCCACTTGAACTCCTGCTGGTGGGCTGGGGCTGGTTCATGGGCTCAGGTACAGGTGGCTGAGAGGGAGCTGTAGGTGGCACTGGGGCAGGTGGAGGGAGTGCCCAATATGACGGGGTGGGGTGCTCCCAGCAGGAAGGCTGGTTCTAGGGAAAGGAGAGGAGAGTTGCAGGGAGACCACCCAGGCTGGGGAGGCCTGGGTGAGCGGCTCTGGCAGCCTCCTCTAGACACAGGACTGTAGGGGCCAGGGAGGAAGTGGGCTGAGAAAGATGCTGAGTAGCCAGCTGAGCCCAGGCAGCAGCTCTGCCCTCTCCCTTCAGCTAAAAATACTGCCCTTCAGGCAGCCCCCTTCCTCCTGGAGCCACTCCAGGCTTTGTCTGATGGGTCCTGAGCAAGGAAGCACAGGAAGCCCCAGCCCAGCACTTCTCTCACAATCGAGAGCCCACAAGACCCCAGGAGGAAGGAGGCAGGTGTACGGTAGGTGCAGCTTGACTGCTGAGACCTTGCTCAGCTCCCACAGCCTGTTGCCCTGGCTTTCTTGGCTCCGAGAGTCTGGCTACTGCTGGGGTTGGCCAGGCCAGCCCGAGTCCCGGTTCTACTGCTTACTAGCTGCGTGTCTTTTTAGCAAGTTGCTCCATTTTGCAGGGAGGGATAAAGACAGCACCAGTCTCCCAAGGATGACACAGATGGATGGGGAGGACAGCACTTGCCTGGCACATGTGAGGTGCACAAGCAATGACAGATGCATGGCGCTGAGCTCTTCCTATGCTGAGCAACCCTGTGGTCCTGGCATTCTGTGCACAGGAGGACAAAAGTGCCCATGGGGGTCTCTCTCCTCTGCACCAGGGCGGTGCTGGCTGACAGGAGCCTTCTTGCCCCTGCAGTGCCCTCCCCTCTCCATCCTACCCCAGGGCTAGGGTGCATGGACCCTGATTACCAGCCTCTGATGCTCACCTCTGCCACCTGCTTCCCCCACAGACCTGCGTAGAATGACGGCTGGCTTCATGGGCATGGCAGTGGCCATCATCCTCTTCGGCTGGATCATTGGCGTGCTAGGCTGCTGCTGGGACCGAGGCCTTATGCAGTATGTGGCAGGGCTTCTCTTCCTCATGGGAGGTAAGGCCACGGGCTTGGAGATGGGATGGGGGCGGAAAGGTCCTGGCTCCTGGAGTTCTGGGAGAGTGGCAGGAAGGCATGGGATAGATGGGATACAAGAGAAAAAGATGTGGTCCTCACCCTCTGGGATCTGACTGGCTGGCATGGAAGAGAGACTCTAGGGTTAGAAGACTTGTATTATGGCAGCTACAGATCTCAGACCTGGAAGGCAAGAAACCTAGGAGGTGCTGAAATATTTATATACCTGGGCCCTGGGCCTTTGTGTGGGACAAGGAGGGAGGTACTTCCTGGGGAGCTAGCATCCCCTCTGAAGGCCTATGCTCACCCTCAACTTACGGCTCCCCACACCTCCTCTTCATTGAAAATAAGACCATGGGATGGCCCTGGCCCCTCTCATCCTTGTCTTGCTTCCTCTGTTGTTATGGTGATCATGGTGCCAACCTGATAGGCTTACATAGCATTGTACATAAGGAGAACTATGTAGCCAAATGGAATAGATTCCAGCCATTGGAAGGGAAAGTCCTACCGTCTGCTGTGCCTCTTGCTTCCCATCAGAGCTAGAACATTCTTTGTGGTCTCCTGGTTGGAGTCACAGTTCAGAGCTGCAGGTTTGGATGTTCAGGGAAAGGTAGATGGATGCGTTGTGCGACTCTTGATAGGTGGGGAATAGGGCTTGGACGGAGGGAGTTAGGAATACTTATGGAGAGAAGGGAAATGAGTACTAGACACGGGGACAAATGTCCGTTGGGCTCCCAGCCCCTGAGCAAATGCCCAACCCAGGTCCTTTTTGTGAACAGCCAGGCTTTGGGTTCCTGAGCAGAGGTAGGAGGTGGAGGCCTGCTGGCTCTTTGTACAGATCAGGCTGGGGGAAAAGGAGGCTTGGCCCTCTCCATGCACAGAGATCCCTGGAGCCAGGGCAGCTCTACCTCGGGGAGGAGATCTTTGTAGGATTGACTTGGAGCCTGCAGATTCACTGTTTCCTTAAAGCATATCCGTTCAGTACCCAAACAAGCAGGGACTTTCCAAGGAGCTATCAAACTCTCTGCCATCAGGATGGAGATGTCTCATGTCAGAGCTGCCTCCGCTGGGTCCATGCCTGCGAATATGACAGAGGCTGGGCGTTGGAGGGGATGTGTGGCTCTTCACAGCAGTCCCTACACCCGTCCGGCCTCTGACAGAGACAATGGCTGTGGAAAACAGTCACATTCACCTTCTCTGTACGACTGTCCCTTCAGTGAAATACCGATCCCGCTAAGCCACCATTCCCACGCTGAGTTTTGGCAGTGGCATTCTTTTTATTTCCCCCTCTGCAAGCCAACCTTTACTTGGACCCCTAAATGTACAAAAGGGGCACAACTCTGTTCGGAGTGAGGCTTCTCTAAGTCGCCTTTGGAGCCACAAAGAAAGCTCCAGCAGACGGGCTTTCCTATGGCTCTGGAGAGAACTCCCAGGAGTTGGAGAAAAGCTGGGCAAACAGAGCTGGGCTGAGCGGGAATCTGGGAGCCCTGGGGCCTGACTTGCTCTCATCTCCGTCTCTTTCCCGCTGTTTGCAGTTCCTGGGCACCTGCTCCACTCCGTGCCATCTCTTCAGGCAGGCACAGGGCTCGGGTCCTGCCCAGGCGCTAAGCCCAGGACCATTCAATTCTTTGAGAGCTTCCTTCCTCTGCGCTGCTTCAGCCAGCTTGCAGAGGTGGAGCCAGCACGGCATCGGCTGCTTTATCTTCCCCACGTCCTACACATCAGGCAAAAAATAGGCCAGAGTTGAGTGCCGGTGGCTGGGCCAACAGCTGTAACTGCTGTGAGGCCACTGGGTCACCTCCCACTCACCTGCGACCTTGAGTAGGTAAGAGCCGTGCTCCCCACTGCTGAGCCACCACCCTGAAGCGGGGGCTCTAGGCCAGCTGGCCAGAAGCCCTGGGCTCAGTGAGGAGCCTGTAGCCTCCACGCAGGCTAAAAGAACAGAACCTTGTTTTCTGCTTGCCAGGGTAGTGGGTCTTACCTGCTGCTCAGGAGAGCCACCTGGAGGGCTTTTATAGAAAATTGATGCTGCTCCCCAGCCCTACCCGGACCAGCCAAGCTCTAGGCCTCTAGGGTAACCCTCAAATGCAATCAGAGCCAAGAACCAGTGAGAGAGGAGAACTTTAGAATTTTTTCCAGTTCCAATGTGATATGAAACTAGGGTCTCACTGATTGGTCAAGACCTCTCCTGATTTTTTAACCTGATCTTTTATGACTATTTCTCTAAGCCTTATGCACAAAGAGACAGAGCAGTGCTCATGGGCCTTGGCATCGCTGGGAAGGCCCATCCAAGCCCTGATTACCAGGGTACCTAAATAAATTTGCTCTTCTTGGATATGCACTGGATTTTTAAAAAAATGGCAAAGCCATACTATTTGATAAAGTCTTAGTGTGACATAGGCTTTGGGGAAGCTGCTGTTCCAGGAACTGTTATCCATGGCACCGTCCAGGCTGGAGGGAATCTGTGTCATTCACAGGTCTCGAAGCCTTCTCCTCCACCCTGGAGCTTTGCTAGCTTTGTCCCTCAGAGAAGTGATGTCTTCTTGAAAGAGGATGGGAGGGAAGTGGCATTCACATACTCATGGATACCATTGGGCCAGGCACCAACAGCGGGGCTGAAGAGAGCAAAGGCACTTGCTGTTGATGCCTTGAGTGGTGTTTTAGATTATTTTGCAAGATGCAGCTCCAGGGGATTGGAGGCGACTCTTCTCACAACTGAGTCTGATCTCACTGGGCTGGACACAGCCTCTGGTGTCCAGAAGCCCAGCTGCCAGTTGCTGACCCGGGAGCTTGATTTCATTAGGAACTGGGGAAAAGACAGACTCAGGAGCAGGCTGTGCATTCCCCACCCCTGCTTAGCTGTGGGAGCTAAAGTGAGAGGTCAGGCACCACGGAAGTGAGGCGTTGAGCTGATGTGTTAAGGATACATTTCAACACCCACCCTTCCCAGAACCTGCCTGTCCCTGTCCCCTAGGGGTTAATCTACGCTTGACCTATTGAAGAACTTGGAGAATCAGCCACCTGTGACAGCCACCTCCCAGACACAGAGAAACAATCAGTCCCTCACACTGCAGATGTTTCCTGCAAGGTGAGACCCCCCCCCCAAATGCCCCACAGCCTTAGCCTTCACCCAGGAAAGACCAATAGCAGCAGTGTCAAGAGCTTGACAGGCCTGGGCAGGTAGAAAACAGAATAAAGTAAAATATAAAATAAAAAAGATCCATTTGGAGTCAGGTGTCCAAAGATGGAATTGCAGGTAACTTTAGGTGAAACTGCCTGGGCCAGAATAAACATGGAAGAATTCTATTCACAGCCTTTTCTCTGTCCCCACATGAAGAATGATGGCCAGCATGGGCACTTCTATGTTCCAGATTTAACTATTTGTGGGTTAAAGAGAGGACCTCTTACACCCTGTGAAATAACTAGCAAGAAATAGTTAAATTAGTGCTCAATGCAGAGGAAGCGATTCATGAAGCAGGATGGCTTTGTTGGCCAGGAGGCTGGGGGAGGTGGGGATCCAGTTTCCCTTTTGGCAGAGCCTCCAGGGAAGATGTAGCTCAGACTGGCAGAGCACCATTTGGATGCCAGCAGCTGTCCTGATGAATCATCAATGATTCTCAGAAGCTTGGGAACAGGGCGACACAGGGAAAGACTGCATGGTGAGGGAGTGTGTGAGTGCCACGGTCCACTGTGACTCCCTCCCTGGGTGTACTTTAGGGACACAGACAGGTCTGCAGATAATCCTACACCTCGGTCCCTGCCACCCCATCAAGAACCCTGCAAACTTCCAACACTTAACACTTACTGGAGGTCTTCTGTCCTTTCTCCCTGAGCCAGACAGATCTAAGGCTCCACCATCTTTTACTTGGGCTGATGCTGAAAATTCTTTCCTGTCTGACTGCCCCACTCTGGCCACCCTGTGTCATCCCTGCACAGAGCATTTAGCATAATGTTTTCAAACCCTGAATCAGATATTCACTTGTCGCTGTCAGTGGTCCAGCAGCTTGCAATTGAACTGGAAATACAATCCAAATTCCTTATGCTTCATTAGAGGCCCTCTATAATGTGGCTGATCCGGCCCCTCTCACCTCTTTTTCTATTCCTTCCCTTGCACCTGCTTTGGTTGCTAGTTATTTCATAGAGTGTGAGATGCCCTCTTTCTAATCCAGAAATAGTTAAATCTGAAACAGAGAAGTGCTCATTCCAGCCGTCATCCTGGCTGCCATTCTACCCTGGACACACAAAGTTTTACTGCAAGGCCCTGGGCCTGGCTGATCCCTTGGCCAGAGCTTTCCCCAGAATATGTTTTGGATTCAGATTCCCCTTCAGAGATTCCCCTCTGAGAAGCATCTTCAACCACCCATTTTAATGAAGACACCCAGGCACTTTCTACATGTTAATTTAATTTAATTTTCTTGAGCACATTCACTCTTTCCCGAAATGTTTGTTACGTTTGGCTTTGTTTTGGTATGTTTTTTTTTTTTAGCAGCTTAAAGCAACAAACATTTATTATCTCATAAATCCTATGGATCAGAATTCCAGGTACGGCTTATCTGGGTTCTCCCAAACCTATGATGAAAGCTGTGGTTTGGTCTGGAGTCTCACATGAAGCTTGAGGTCTTTTGCCAAGATCGGCACATTGGTGGCAGGATTAATTTCTTTACAGAGCCCATGGAAGCTATTATTCAAGGCCAGCAAGAGAGGGGGCCTGACTTTTGTCTCTGGCCTTTAGACACTCTTTAAAAAAATTTTTTTTTTCAAACACTTATTTTTTAGAACAGTTTTAGATTTAAAGAAAAAGAGAGCACATAGTTAACACATTATTAGCCTCTGCCCCTGCAGACTTTCTCCTTTTATTAACATGTTACACAAATAGGGCATATTTGTGACAATTAATACATAGACATAGATACATTGCTATTAACTAACATGCATAGTTTATTTTTACTTGGTATCCTTTTTTATCCTAGGATGCCATCCAG